TCAATTACCGCGCTTCGGCGGGGACCGAAAAATTACGACCAAGCCCACCATAGGTTTGTTAACCAGGCTATAGGTCTTGTATGGCCTTCGTAGCAGGATTATAGAATTGGGGGTTTGGTGGTCTTCGGCTGTTTTCTGATTAGCCCAGTTCTAAAAACGGTTGTCTATATGCAATCAGAAGCTCCCAAAGACCCTGAAGACCCCCAAAACCCCCGGTTTTTGGCATGCTATGGAGGCTAGGTCTTGTACCAATCCGACAAATTACTGTTTTAGGTAGTGAAAATTGTAAGAAAGGGTCTTCATTTGCGGTAAAGTACAGAATCACTTCTTTTAAAGTACCGGAATGCACGTGTTCCCTGACTTTTGATAACTGCACCACACTCCCCACCTTATATGAAAGGGCGTAACATATATGTGAACGTACCGGAATGCCCTTTTTCTTGGTCTTAAACTATATTAAACAAAGAAACAAAGAAAGCAATACAATGTACCATTACCAACAAATCTTGAAAACAAGCATTTTTCAGTATTAGAGTAATAAAGTATGCTGATTAAAAATTATCACACATAATAAGTTTCTTATGAAATTCTTTTGGGGGTATTAAAAAGAGTAGGTGTTACTGCCCGCAACCACATCCGGCGTATATCGTTAAGTACAAGCGCTACTGAGGTAACGTGAACTTTCACTCCTCCCAATGCAACGAGTCTCCCTCTGTCCCAACAAACGTTGACCCTTCACCCTGCCTGTCAGCACACATACTTCTTGTCTCTCTCTATATATATAAAACACAGCAAACAACTCTCTGTCGAGAAAACGGCATTGGGTGTTTGTTGTTAAGCACTACCGAGGTAACATGTAAACTTTCAACGAGTCTCCCTCTGTCCCAACAAACGTTGACCCTTCACCCTGTCTGTTGGCTCACGTACTTCTTATCATACAACTCTCTGTCGAGAAAATAGCGTCAGAACAGGGGGAATATGGCCTTTGCAATGAGTGGCATTCATAACATCGAAAGGCATATCATATTCATTGCACTATTGTAGTAATCAAAAAAGGAAACATTAAAAGTAGAATACGAGATGGTCTCCATTTACGTTTAGGTACAAAATGGTTACTTTCAAAGTACCGGAATGCACGTGTTTCCTGACTTTTGATAACTGTACCACTATCTCCTACCTTTTATTTATTTATCAATCAATCCTTATAAACCATGAAGCCATAAATAAAAAAGTTACTTTTTGAAGAGAACCTTAATGCATTGTTTGCCACTGAATTCTTCAGAAACGGATGGGGGGCATTTTTAGAGACTGGATGTTATTGTCCACATCGAGTATATACAAGTAAGTAGAAATGCTTCTAAAGTTCAATTTAAATTTTCTCTGGCTCTCCCGCCGTCCCAACAAACCCTGACCTCCTCACCCTATCTGTTGACACACGTACTTCTAAACTCTATTATTATAACAAAGTACACAACTTTCTCCGGGTTCGAAGGTGTCAGAACAGGTGGGGGAGAAACCTTAAAAGTTTGCAAGCAGCGCCGTTTGGGAGGATTTCTCCTGAAATATCGCAGAACATTTACATTTACATATATTTACCTTGAAAAAAAGGGTATCGTTTGGTATTAGAGTAATAAAGAAGGCCGGTTAATACATATGTAATAAATACATTAAGTAGAAACGCTGCTGAGGATAAATTCAAATTTTCTTTGGCTCTCCCGCCGTCTCAACAAACCCTGACCTCCTCACCCTGCCTGTTGGCACACGTACTTCTAAACTCATTAAAACAAAGTACACAATTCCCTCCGGCTGAAATGAAGGACACAGAACAAGTAGGAAAATAGTCTTTAGAACCTGTGGCTT